GAAACTAGTGAATGTATCTAGCAACTTATATTGCCCCCCATAACTACAGTTTCTGAGCATCTAACAAATTATTTTATCTATGCAATAGCATGAGTAGGGAACATACATCTCATTATCTCTGTTTTACAGATGGGAACAGAGGTTGAGAGAGGTAAGATTCAGCACATTTGTGACAGAGCTGGGGATTTAACCTATAGCTGCAGTTCACTGCTTTAGAGACCATTTTCTTCCCTCCATCCTGGAAAGAAAAGGCTTTCTAACTCCATATTCACTGACAGTTGCAAAGTCAAGAAGTGGACTGGAATTAGGATTGACAGAAGGTTGCAGAAAGGTGAGAAAACATGCAGAAAGAGTTGAGCAACATTTCCATGGCCAACACATGGCAGGGCACAAAAGCCTCAATAAAGCACAGCAGCCTTTGAGAGACTCATTGTCAGGACAATATTGAGATCTTCAAATATGGAAATGATTGGTGGAATAAACTCTTTGCATGCCTTATTGAGGGAGCCAGTCAGCAAACTACACAAGATAAAAATCCAAACCAAAATTCAGACAGCACAGGAACTTGGAGTGTGCAGGACTCACAAATAAAGGAGTTCCCTTCATGAGCAGCACACAATTAAAAGAAATGACTCCAATCCTGGTATAGCCTTCACCATCACACTACCTCTAAAGAAGAAAAGGGATGAGATCATATTCTAGGGAAAAAAATAAGCCTTATTGATGGTGTGAGAGTATGTGAGAGAGAGTGAGAGAGAGAGAGAACATTTCTGGAAGATTTTGGCTGCCAGTCTCTCTAGAGAGATTTCTGTTCTGGAGCTGGTATCCTGGGAAAGCTAACCTAACATGCATCTTCCAACAATGTTTTCCATGGATGACTGGTAGCATCCCAGATGTTACTACCAAAACCAAATCTCATTGGAATATATATATATATATATAACATTGGTACAATGTGAAGTGAGAGGCAGGGTGATTGTGGTCTTTATACAAGAAGACACACCCAATTAACACATTAGAGCAAGATGGGTTTTCAATAATTCCATTTTTTGCCGACTACAGTACAGATGTTAGGAAACACTTTCAGAATTGCCCTTCAAAAATTTCAGTCCTCCTGAAGCTGAAATGTAGTCCTTGGTTTTTTACAGCCCTTAGTGTTCCTTTATCATAAATATCCACACTTGATTAGAACCATTAAGAAAGTGCATGTATTACACACGTATTAGGCACAGATAGTAGTATTAAACCTCAAGACAGACTGCTGTAGTGCACTGTGGTGTTTTATTAGTGTTAAGACATGCAATATTAAATGGGAAAAAATAAAATACTGAGATTACATATTTTAATCAACTAAATAGAGTTCAAGACTTATTGCATATTATGTAATGAAAATAATGTTTTTCATGCATTATCATAAGTCTACAGCTGTCATGTGCATATAGTTGTGTACCTTTAAGAAATCTGCACAAACCATTGATTGCACAAGACAAATCAATCCTTCAAGCAATACTCACATCTTTATAGACCTCCTATATAGACTTGGATCTCCAGCATTTTATTGTACTTTATGTAATATAAGCCTCTTGGAAGCTTCTAAGACAAAAAGGAATGGCTGTATCATCTGTAACATACTTAACAGTGAATATAGCAGATTCTTCATCATTTAAATCATGAGAGATAAAATGAAGGCCAAATATGTTTGAGAAGACTATGCCTTTTTCAACAGAAATCTCTTAAAACCCTTCAGAAAGAGATTAAAGTGCTACCTATTGCATATTAAATACTTCCAGTGACTGTATCTAGATTTAGATGCTGTAAATCATTGAAAACGGGGGTTCATAATGGAAGTGCTGACAGACCCTTAAATTTAGCCTCATGAACACAGCAGCGCTATAATCCTTCACTATTTACTTCAAAAAAGAGGAAGTGAACCAACATGCTTTAAATATCACCATTGGAAAAACACACAGCTAATACCTTTACCATATCTACAACAGTTATGGATGCATAAAGATCCAAAAGCATGAGCTTAGTTTAAAACCTAGGTACGGAGTAGCTTTTTTTTTTTTTTTTTAAAGCTAGACATGTAAATAAAACTCCAGTGCAGCAGCAGATAGATTAAGACAGCAGTTCTCTTTGTTTTGAGATGCATCTAGTTAAAGGAAAGGGATCCTTACAACAAAAAGTACAAGCTGGTCACTAATGAGCTTGGTTCTGGGTTAGATCCCCAATCTGTGAAACCTTTTCAAATACAAGGCAACATTTTCACAGCTGGAAAATTACAAGTAGTTCTTGATTTGTGGCCAACAGCAATAGATGTAGTTATGTATAATCTATGGATAATGCTACATTCATTGGTAGGTGGCAAAACCAAGCTCAGCATAAAACACAGCAGCAAAAGGTTAGATATAAATATTAAACATTCTTCTTAAATGGCAATAAGTTTTAATTTGTTATTTACAACTCTAAAATATGGCCTTGAAATTCACTCTATAAAGTAAGTAGTTAAATATATAACTATTAGCATAGCTGTTTCAAAGGAACATTTTAAAGTATAGTACATATATCAACAATCCTTCATGTTAATTTTTCAAAGAAAAGATCAACAACAATGTGCAGATTTCTAATATCGTTATCCCTAGGTTTTAGGGTATTAAAAGACAGATTTGAAGTGTCACGGTATTACAGGTTTGAAATTATTAGAAAGTGTGTTCACCACTAAGGGTGAAACAGAAGTTTCTTTGTGTCCAACAGATGTATGAAATATTCTGTGTGAAGCAGTGTGATTTGAAAGCTGCAAGGTCCATAAATACTTTGAGTGAGAAGATGTCCTTCTAAACAAACTTGTTATGAAAAATACATAAACAATTAATGGTTTTTTTTTAACAGAGAATCATATCCATTTTCTTTCCAGAATTATTCCAAAAACAATTAGTACCGTAAAATACACAAACTCGTTAAAATATTTGCATTGGTCAATGTTTCATTCTGCTTATTTTAATAACTGTACCTTTCCTTACTTATATTATGCTTCTTTCCCCCCTTTTTTGTTAGCAACTATTAGAAACAAAAGGTGCTTTTATTCACTTACATATCAGATAAAGAACTAGATGGTGCATTAAAAGCTTCACTAAATTTCTCCACTAAAGCATAAAAATAATCTTTTTGCTACCTTTAATCTGCTTATCACTTCTGGTATGCAAATATGTCAAAGGATCTACTTTTAGTCAATTATGCATTTCGATATTCCACATTAGCATTCTAATAGAAGTGTTTCCAGAGGAGCTAAATATAGTAGAGCTTACTTTTAATAATTATAAATTGGCTTGTAGAAGTAAAAACTGATCGGGGTCAGTTTTCCTGTTGATTTACCAGTGAAACTCCCACTCTTCTGTATGACCTAGTGACGACAGTCCCTATACAACCAGACTCATATTGTACCAGTGATTTTTTTAAATTCAAGGGAAGCAAAAATTCAATGGCACAACAATTCCACAAGTAGAGCAAGTAAAAACCACTGGCTTTAGCCAAACTATTCTTTAATGTTTTAGAATCTTTGTGGTAATACTGAATATTTGAAACACATCTTGGTATCATTTCTAAGCTAAAATCCACTTCAAGTGCAAAACCTGACTTCCTGCAATGAATCATAACTTTATATATATCTATATATATATCCTTTGGCACTTTGAGTATGGTAGAATAAATGTAGTCATTTAGACTGGAAATAAGTCAAAAGAACAATCATATTAGTTTGAGGTACAATGCCTGCTGAATCCTTGGGTGGCCTTAACAGCAACTACTTAGTAACTCAGGCCTTAATTGTACAGCACAGACTGCTAAAGCAAAATACAACAACCAGGAAGAGCTTGACAATAATCACTGGAGGCATCCATACATCTGTCTGCTCCGACACGCCCAGTGCTGCACTGCATCCATTTGTATAAACGGCAAAATGTGCATCAGCGCTGAGAAAATGGTAGCAGTAAGCTTTTGAACTAAAACACCTTCAATGCGTTTTAGTTCAAAAGCATGCTGCCACCATTTTCTCAGCGCTGACGCGTATTTTGCTGTTTATACAAATGTATGTGCCGCAGCGCCAGCTGCTTTTAAAAACACACGGAGCTGCGGTGCAACCACGTGTACAAACGCCCCGAGGCTCCACCCAAGCACAGTTATCTGCATTACTAGATCTCAATGCAGGCTTGGGACTGTCAAGCCTAACACTTCTTGTGAATCTAGAAGAATCAATCTTTTTTCTTTCCTAGTTACCTGTTCTCATGCTGAGGAATGAAAAGTTTTATTTTTTAAAATAAAAGACAACAAAGATACAAAGTTAGTGTGGAATCCTGAAAGTTAGTTATACCATATAGCTAAATCTTCTAATGAGTGCAAATCTATGTTGCTGCAGTGTACCTACATGGTTAAAAGTACTCAGATAGAAAGGTTGGTCAAATAATGTCCAAAAATCACCAGTCACAATGGCATTATTAATTTTTTGCAGACTTAAAAAGGAAAAAAGCATCTTATTTTTTTACAATCACAAAAAATAATCAGAAGTTAATTTTAGGCTTTTTTCTTCCTCAGACATGCCCATCATATACCAGCTTAAGAAAAATACACACTTTACAAGAATAGAAGAGGGAAAAAAGGACACAATTTTTCCTCAAAGCTTAAGTAAATTTAACTTTGTAGGTCCATGGCTAATATATTCTCTTTACAAATGCTATCTTTCTGGCATTTCACAATAACAAGGAATCTACTTGGGACTTATATGAAGGAAAGTAAAATAAAGTAATATACAGCTGATATTAATACCAATTATTTTTCCTATGCTATTACTTTCCATTAGAAGATATTTTGCCAATGAGTGGAATTACAGATAACTCTTTTGTACATCACATTACAACTACAACCCGACTAATACATTTAAAAACAGACTTTTAAAGTCATTGACAAGGAATGCAGACCGTGTCTTTTTAGGTAGTGTTTTTTAAAAAAAAAAATACTCTAGATATGCCTAAGTAATCTAATGTTTTCTTAACAGTATTTTCTTTTTTGTCACACGATCTGGACATCCAAGAACAGATGAAGAACATGAAAAACTCAATTTGAAATTGAGTTACTTTAATTCTTCAAAATTGCCACATCTATTTAAGTCAGTCTATTTATATCTCCTACATTTTTACTGCTCTAGGCTTTGAGTGAACAAACCATTTAACTCTTTATCCATGACCTTCTTCAATCCTACTTCTGACCCCATGAACATTTTTGTATCATTTTAACACATACAGAGGCATGCCGTTACTTTATGCAAAAACCCATTGTGTAATTAGCTCATTTGAAAGTTCAAACATTCCCTGTATACAAAAATTCAGAATTTAAATATAAAATAATTGACTGAAGTGTATGCCATTGCTGAACTGACACAACAATCTCACTGTATATGATGCAGCATTTCCTCTTCTCAACTTGTGGGTCTCATGTTTCCCTCTGATAAACTTGAGAATGAACTGTGTTAAAATACCACATTGCAACAACTCACATTTAGATTGGCAAAATATACAATGCTGACTTGCAAATGACAGCCTTAATGGTATGCTGTAATACCAAAAAGAATGACTGTGTATAATATTGTACCAAGTAATTAATAAAGAAAATAGCAACATGGTTTCATAGCTGTAACTGCAATGAGGAACATTATAAGCTATTGTGTAAAAAAACACACAACCATTTTTAAAGTATATTCTTTACAGTACTGTAAGCAACATTCTGCAGCTAAATGCAATTTCCAAAAACAGATGAGAGGCATTCACTTACCATATCTCTCATTTTTTTCTTCAGGAAGTTCTTTAACTTAACATATATAATAGTGTATTAGTTGTGGCAGTCCCTGCTAGTACCTGGAGTGGAAAAAAAGGATTTCTTAGGAAAAGAGGAATGGAATATGCAACCGAATGTAATAAATCTGCTGTGTAGTGTTATGTCCGTACACTAACACATTCAATATTAACATGAAAAGTTGAGATTTTAGCTTTTGGAAAATTTGCCGGCTTTTCGGGAAGGTTCATATGGTACTCTGAGAATACTAGGTGTTTCCTCCATTACTCGTACAAGAAGATTGTCAATGTAGTCCTCAAGTTCACGGATATGGGTGTCTTTCTTCTTAAGCTGCTCTTTGTGTTTCACCAACTCTTGCAAGACCTCTTCATATGTAAGATTACGGTACCCTGCAGTAGCATCAAAAGGATTTCCATCCTACAAATAAGTTAAAAAAGTCATTTCAACAGTTTACTAACCAAGACTGTGAGCAAGTTGAGACGTACGAAACAAAGTCATTTTGGTACTGATCTTTATACTTAGAAGACGAATCTCGTAATTACCCTAAACTGGTTAACCCAGATGGAGTCAACAACGGAGAGGGGAAAGGTTCAGGATCCTACCTTCTCTTTTCTTTTCTTTCTTGAGTCCTCTTTCATTTTTTGGTTCACCTTTTGTCAAACCTGCAGCAAGGCATTTATTTAGCTCTTCAATAACCTCAAGCCTTATCTGTCTTTTATTTTCCACTCCTGGCCTTTAGTAGTTCTCCAATATTTCAAAGTCAGGGTCCACACTTATTATATACTGTGACTTTATAGTTCATATTTTGGAGGATGCTAGAAGGCTGTATTATCATTGCACTAGAGCACTCAGCTAGAAAGAACTATTACAAGTTTAAAAAGTGGTTAACCAAATCCTAAAAGCAGCAGCAATGAAAATAGAAACATTTTTAATAACGACTTCTGATGATTCCCTAAATGTCGGTATCAAGAGAAGTAAAATATAGTTCCCAAAATAAAGGAACAATGCATGAGCCAAGAAACTATAACCTTGAGTGTCTTATTTTCCACTGAGGAGAGATAATGGCAACATTAAGGAACAAGATTACAATACATTTGGAAACATATAATTGAGAAAAGGATAGTTAGCAAGAGTTGATTTATAAAAGTAATAGTACTGCTAGACACACATAATAATTAGCTTTAGCTGCTTCAGAGGCTGAGGCATTTAAAAGATATGGAACATTTTACTAAATAAAATAATCTAACCCCTCAAAGCTTGAACCTTTGACTGGAATATAAACTGAAGTAATTCATGCTTCGAAGACAGTTTTTGTTTACATTTAAATCTTCTCATTAAAAATGATAAATCAGGTTCTATTAGGAAGTAGCCCACATGGTAGATATATACACAAGTAGCCCGCTTCACTCCTTTGCATTTCAGCATAGCTCAATATTTACACATTGGCATCCATCTGATCATTAAAATATGCAGGTGGCCGAAGTTTTCAAGTAAGGCTAATTAAAAGTGAGGGCGTACTGTGTGATTCAGTGGGAATGCCACAAGCTAACTGGCCTCTCCCCCAGTCAATTGTTTTCTGTTAGCAATATTTATTATTTAAGGGTTTTTGACTTGTTATATTTGTGAGATTTAAAATTATTTTACCCATCAGTATTTAGTCGCTAACAATTAACTTGGTTTTGACAATCCGTAATACTAAAAGCTGCCAGTCATTCTTGATGACTCGCAGAGCTCATTGAAAAAAACCCAAACACTTAACTTGGTGAAATTTATAAATAATTTAGTATTAGATACCCAATGCTGTATGCATAATAGAAAGCATTTCCAATTCTTATTTGTATACTTTGCTTATTTTCTTCCACAGTAAGTTAGGAATCATTTGGCAGTACAATACTAATGTTTCAGACACCTCAGAGAACACATTACTAAAGCTACTGTATCTAAAAATAAAGTTCTTGCTCTATTTTCTCATTTGCAAAGACATAAAACTGGTATACAACACTGTTTTTAATTATTACATCTTTCCCCCCAAATATCTGTGTAATACGTATGTTTTAAAGTTGTTTTCTTATGTTCATGCTCCACATGAAACTTTTCTCGTAATAACTTGTTACATAAATGCAAAGGGAAATACTCCTTACAGAAAAATACAAATTTAAACGGCCTACCATTATGTTTTTAGTACATTTAAAAGTGAACACTGACAGCACTATGGGGTAACTCACATCTGATGATAATGTTGTTAATTTGAACAGAAGTAACATGTTGCTCTATAGTATCCTCTGTACAAAAACTTGCTACTAAAATTTTACTGTAAAATATTTATCTTATTTTAGTAAAATGTACTAAACAGCAACATCCTGGAGGGAGGGTTGTCTTGGTAACTATATGTTATTGGGGTACAAACTGACATCCGCAGTAACTGGAGGAGAGTGAGAGAGATAAGAGGAAGGCCTGGCGTTCTCTGATCATATCTTTATTGTTCTAATGAGGAATTTTGCTCTGGGAATATCATCTCAGCTACTTTCACATCTTTTGTCCTACTTGCTTCATCTCCCTTTCAGTTCTTAATTAGGCCTTAAAGAGCTCGCGCTGCCCTTTCAACTGGCTACTGCTCCCATTTAAGCACTATTTCCAGAGACAGGTGTTGGCACCAGAGCAGAAGACATACAAATGTAATTTCTAAACACTAGGTATAAGGAAAGAAAAAAATAACAACTTGGTGGAAGGCTATTACTGCAGAACCTAATATAAATTACTTCAAACATCTTTAAAATAATCTGGAGCATTAAAATGTTTCAAATAGTTTCATTCAAAAACTAAGGGTACATAGATAGTGCTTTCTCCTCTTAATTGTATCTTGCATTAAATGAACATAACCTTATAATCCTGCAACTGACATTTAGGATAGTTGGTATTCCAAAAGAAAATCAGCATATCAAGGATTTCTTTTATCACCTTTAAATCCTTTAAATAAAACAATTCATATCTTATTTCTTAAAAGAATTATTACCAGCAATAAATTACACGATTTGGGATAGTACATTTACAAGCACATAGAAACTGTAATTAAGGTTACTTTACAGACAATAGCTGCTAAGTTAAATCAATTTTTGATGTTGCTTTTTGTCAGAGATTAAGTAACCGACTGGTAGAATTCAGTTTACTATCTGATCAAAGGCAGCCTTCATATACTCTGTATAATGTAAGAAACTAGAGGGAGATGTCAAACTTGGGTATTTATTATGAAACATCAAAAGTTGTTATAAATCATTTACATAACACAGCAAAAGACAAACAGTAGAAATCCTATTTGGTTGTGCAACTTATTTTCTATTTTTTTAAGATGGAAAACAAATCCACTTTTAAAGATACAATCTGCTCATAGAACAAAATTCTAGTAAGACCATAATTTCTTTTAAACAAAGAAACTACAAAATGTGTGGATTTTTTTTCTGTGAGTCCACAGGGGACAGGATAAAACTGTAATGGACTTAAATTGGAATAAGGGAGATGTGGTTAGATATTGGGGAGAACTTACTAACTATGAGCATGATTAAGCAGTAGAAGAGATCACTTAGAGAGGTTGTGGCACTGTTGGCATTGGAAGTGGTTAGGGCACGTAAGACAAATATATGTCTGAGGTGGTTTAGACAGGGATGATCCTGTCTCAAGCAAGGACTAAATAACCACTTGAGGATCCTGCTAGGTCTTTTCTCTGTGATTTTATGATTCTTTGCATCTTAGAATAAAATTTCTTCTTGCTTTTTTTATTTTCTTTTTATAATTTTCATAAGAAGCTGTTAATTTTTTTTTTATTACTAACCCCTTCATACTTATTTCCTAAATCAGGTTATTTCCTCTGAATACCCATCTAAATAACTGTCCTAATAAAGAGCCATAGGCTACAGTGGTAAGAAAGATCGGTTAGGTAATACACTGCTAATGAAAAAATGTTTAATGGATTCTACTATTTAGTTCCAACTTATTTTAAATGGCCAAAGCAATAGGTCTCCCACTATTCCCAGGGGGAAAACCTCACATCTGTTCTACATGGTATCTTTGAGGTTATTCTACTTATTTTGAGGTTTGGGTCCTCTAGGCCTTCTCTTAGTTTCACTGAATTGTACCACATCTGTAGTCAGGAGAGCATTTCTGGTGAGGAGTGCTGGAAATATCAGTCATACAAGAAAACAAAAGAAGTAAATTCCAGCATTTTTTTTTGCATTAGAGGAGGGAAAATTATTTATTCTGTTTCAGGAATCAAATAGCTGGCATTTACTGATGGTTCTCCATAACATTATTACTCACTGTTGTTTTCCTGAGGTCTTCAATGCTTGGTGTATTCATCTTGAAACTAGAGGAGAAACAAACAAACAAAAAAAAACCAACCTTACTAACGCGTCCTTTGTCAAGGAACTTTATACCAAATATAGCAACATGCATATAATTTGAGACTTCAAGAACTTACGAAATTTAGGGACAATTTCCAAAATTTAAGGTAATGCTCTTAAAACAGCTGGTATACAAACTTGCCACTTAAATTTTACTTTTTTACAAGAACTGCCATTTCTGAAACTGAGATGCTAATTCAGTTTTTATACCCATTTTCTATACAGATGTCTAGGCTGAGATTGTCAAGAAAGGTACCAATTGGTATCTTTCTTTGTGGAGGGTTTGATATAGGTGACCTAACCTACATAAACTAAATTGAGACCACTAGTTGTTTTCATAGATTGAAAAGTTCTTTAATGTTCATGATGCTCAATTCCCAACAGAGTTTAGGTGGATCCAATGAACAACTATTCAACAGACTTATTACATTATTCTACATACAACATTACAAAGTTTTCATTTTTTTTCCTTAAGTGACTGAGACCAAAGCACAGCTGATACCTGGCAGTAGTGTTTTAATGGTCTAGGTCACCAAATAGTTGATTCTGTGATGCTGGAAAGGTTACATATGCTCCAGAAGCGCACCTGTACTGAAGGCCAAAGTTGAGGCTTGTTGATAGAGGTTTTATAAAAGAGCCTTCTCAGTTCAACCTGGCTTGGTTGAACATGTAACAAATCATTTATGATTAGACCAAACCCTTCATGACTCTCATGGCTCATGAATTTGCCTTTATTTTTTTAGAAAGAAAAAGAAAAAAAAAATCTCTGTAGTCAGAGATTATACCTAGATAAAATCAATTCAAGAAGAAGGAAATATAAATTTGGAAACAAAGTGTTTCAATTTTAGGCCACTGAAAAGGTATTGGAAAAAATCAAAAATGACAACTTTCAAAAGTATGAAAAAAGTTGTCCCTTTGTTTTTCAGTTTAACAGAAAAATCAACCTTAAAACAAGCAATATTCTTCCACTTCAATTTCATTCTTTTTTGAGCCTGTAACTTTGGATTATACATATTTAGCAGTTGATATAAAAGAGGTGAATGGACACGTTTTACATTACAAGGTTCTGAACGCTGCCATTATAAAATGAAATTAAAAAGCTAAATCAATCTAGGACAGCTCTAGTCTTTGCTTATACAGACACCCAGCAAACCACCTGTAGCACTTGGAATATTAGATGAAGATTTGATTACATGAACAGTCACAACTGCGAGGAAAAAGGTGTCTGATGAATCCAGTTCTGGCTAATTCCCATTATACCTGCTTGTAACAGTGATCTGAGGCATTCTGCCCAGCTCACTAGAGAACAGTTTTGAATGAGGGGCCTCTTTCATCGGGTATTGTCTAAAATCTAAAGGCAGGAACCCTCCCTCATGGTCTGCCTTTTAGTCTCACACTGATGTGTCAAACACATGATGAACTTACTCATTCATGGCTGCCTTTTGTGATCTATTCTGTGTTCAAAAAAAACGAGTGAACTGAACTGGATCGAATTAGCTTGGTGAAAACCAAGAATGTCGTTATTTAGCGAAGTGTGGCGTTAATTTGGGATACCTTTCTTTTGGGACCATTTCCTCGTGTCAGACAAGATATAGAATAATGCGGTCTGACTGCTCAACTGAGTGAGTTTCTGAAAGGTTAAGAAAGCAGGATCTTTTATAGAACTGAATGACTTAATAGTTTTTGTGAAATACGTTCTGAGATGCTCTTGCATAACAGCAACTTAAAATAGAATCGGGAACAGTGACTATACATAAAAATTGAACTTTAAAATCAGAAAGGCAGACCATTGGGAGTACTAAATAATGGTTTTAAACGGAAAAAAATCATGCACACTGCATTGTTGTGAACCTCCTGACTGCATCTACAAACCCAGCAAGTGTAAGTACTTATGTAAGCAGTTGTCTACATTTAAATACAAAAGGCTCACAAGTAAAAAACCGATTGTGTACATATCTTAAGAGAAAAGTGGGAAATAGACCCCCTCCCAGGGAAGTAGTGAATCATTTTTATTTTTATCTTATCTATCTGTCTATCTATATTTTAAATCAGATCGTCTACTAACTAGTCCATGGTCTCAGTGAGCCTAGCATGATTTCCTGCCAGCTCTTCTAGCCTGAGGTGAGTATGAGAAATTCCAGGCTCTCCCAGCTGTACTCATAATTCACCATTTGTGAATTTAATAATACCTTTAAAGAATATACTGTAAAACTGCAAAAATACATTTTTGCAGCATTGTGTATTTAAAGTTCCTGGGCCTTTTCTTAAGTTTCATCAGAATAATACACCTTGAAGTTAAAGTTGACATCTTAGTTGGCTAATAATAACCATGTAAAAGCAAGCCAAAAAAGCATACACCTAGGATTTTAGGAATCATAAATTGTATATTAAGTAAGCCTACATCTCTCTCTCTCAAGCAACTATTTTCTTAATTGTAGAAGGTCATTCTGATTTTAACTGAAGCCACTGATGTCACCAATATCCAAATTCTAATTAATATGTATATCTGAATGATAAAAGCAATGTGGATGTAAATGGCATGCTCTGCTATCATTGTAGGACTATACAGCACAGTTATAATAGCTAAGATCCTATCCCTATTTTTTTGCCCTGGGTTTGATAAATTGGCAGCAAATCTGTGCTGTGGAAGCAGGACAAAAATATGTTCACAGCTTGGAAGCATATTTTCTTTTAGCTTTTAGAGTGCGGTTCCACTGTAAAAACCAATTGTAAGCATTGGCATTGTGGGATTCTATATTTATTGTTTTTCAGTTACTTCCAAACTACATTTGCTCAGTTTGCAAGTAAGAAAAGATGTTTCTTCACTAACTGGCAGGCTTTTTTTTTTGCCAGCTCATCCTGGGAACTGAAAGTCAAATTGGGTTTTTCTGGCTCAAACATCACTATTAAAACTGTCTGGTGTGTATACACATAATTACTGTTTTCCAAATTTTATTTTTAAGTGCTAGTAAAAAGGCAAACTAAAACTGATGTTAATAGGATTTTACATCTCCTCAAATAAAAGTTCCAGAACACAGGGTATTTACTGCTCAATAAAAATCACACAGTTATAATGTGAATAATCTATTTAGTTTAGTAAGGACAGCATGTCAAATGTGGTTTAAATCTGCTATTATAATCCAAGATGAGTAATTAAGACTTTAAAATAAGCTTCGCTGAAATGATATTGTGCCCAAAGGCACACAGGACAGTGTATGAAATCAACGGTAGATCAGCTGAGGGTTTCTCAAAATTCTGCCTCTACATGCTTCTCTTCTCTCATTTCTTTTATTGCCTCTCAAGTCATCCTCTTTACTATCCTAATATTATCTTTTATTCCGGCAAACTACAACTAAACCAGAGGGTTTCACCGTTTTAACTAGGCTAGCACAGTTAAAAGGGTCAAGGCTTCAAGCACAGGCAAAGTCTTAGTATCATGGCTGTCAAAATCATGCCAGCTGATTACATCAGGGTATTCCAACTGGTTTGAATAGAATTACTTAGAAGTGGTTGCAAGTAATCTATACTTTAGATTATAAGTGCAGAGGCAGAGACCATATTGTCTTTATGACTGTACAGAGAAAAGCATACCAATGATGGTCAAATAATAAAAAAACCCGATGTGACGTAAGTTTACTGTGGGCAAATTGAAGAGAGTCCAGCCAAGGGGAATGAAAATGATTAGGGGTCTACATGATTTATGAGAGGCTGAAGGAACTGTGCTTATTTAGTTTAGAAGAGACAAGACCGAAGGGGATATAACAACAGCCTCCAACTACCTGCAGGGTGGGAACAAAGAAGATGGAGCTGGGCTGTTCTCAGGTGTGGTGGATAACAGAACAAGGAGCAATGGCCTCAAGTTGCAGCAAGGGAAGTTTAGGTTACATATTGGGAACTCCTCTCATGAAGACGGTAGTAAAGCACGGCTACCCAGAGAGGCTATGGAGTCTCCATCCTTAGAGGTTGTAATGATCTAAGTATACAACACTGTGGCTTGCTGGGATGATATAGTTAGGGATGGTCTTGCTTTGAGCAGGAGATTGGACTAGATGTAACCCCCTGAGGTCCCTTCCAACCCCAGGTCTTCTGTGATTCTATTTTCACTGGGGACAAACGTGTCACAAATAAGAAAAGGAAAAACATACAGAAGATTTAGAAAGCTTTTGCTCTTATTGTCAATGCAACAAAATATGATATTTACAATTATATTTGCATTGTCCTGAGCTTCAGATAGTTACTATGCAAGGACTTCCCAGAGAGACCTACCTACCATATGCACAATATTACTTAGACCAGTGATTCTCAACCAGGGTGCTGCAGCACCCCCGGATACCTTAAGATTCACAAAACCCAGAAATTTCAAATAGAAATCCATCAGTGTGGCCTTTCTGAGCCCTTTGCAGTACAAAAACTGCTCTATTTTTTCTGGACTACAGAAAAATGAGTGAAAACGAGAGCTGGCACTACCAAGAGGTTCCTTGAGTCTAAAAAGGTTGAGAACCACTGACTTAGCATGCCAACCTAAGTATCTATCTGGATGCCCAGACAACCAAACCCGATCACCTACATGGTCATCTATGCCCCCAAAATGCTACTTGCACATGGCTTGGAAGACTTTTTCTGACATATATGTAGTCATGCAGATGGGTAGGGCCACACATGCAGGAATAATGCCCACCTGAGCATTTTTGAGACTTGGATGAACATGTAGATAAATTTGGTCATCTAAACATTCAAAAACAAACAGAATGCTACCTTTAGTACCATAAAGTCCAAAACAGCAATCCAAAATACCCTCAACCCACCCTCAACCTTTCTCATCCTGGAGGTGCCTAAACTACTATGCACATCCCTGGCTGGAAGGCTATGACATTTTCCCTAGAGGCTTCTGTGCATGTCCAGAGCTGCACAATGTCCTCAGCTGAGTTAAGTCCCCATGGCTGAAGACCTGGTGCAATCTAGA